TCTTCCAGAGATCACTGCCTCTGTGAAACAGCAACGACTTGGTTTCTTTACTGACCCTGCACTCGAATGGCTTGCACGGCACTGAAAGTGTCTAAGGAGAACGAGGTTGAAGGGAGTCTCATGAGGTCTTCTACAAACCTGATAGTGTCGCAGATCAGCTGCCTTACCACCATCTGTGGATTCTGAGATGGGAAGTAGAGTCGTTTGTAGAGGCCTTAGACACGTTGCTGTTGAAGGGAAATTTGAGATTTCTGGGTCCCCATTCAGTGTACTATTAAATCCAGCTTCTTTTGAAATTTAGAATTACTCATAATCTTAAATTTTGTTCTGTGTTTATTCTTTCCTGGTTATAACTATATTTATCCTCTCTTGATTGTAACTGTATTTGTATGAAGTTAATCCAGCTCCTGCTTTTGTAGGGTGGCCATATGTTGTCTAACTGAGGACAATCGAGAGGAAAGGGAGTGCCGTTAACAATTATGTCAGCACAGCACATGTAAGCTAGGATGTGTCCATCCTATCTTTCAGGCATTTGGAATCGCAAATCAGGCATCAGGAATTCACGTGCTTCTGCCTGTCAGGGAGCCTACAGCTAGAGTAAGCCACAGGAGAGGACTTCTTACACATTTATTAGACGTGTGCTGTAAAGTTTCACCTTTAGGAACAGATCGTTTTGTAGAATGTGTCATCAACTATGTTTCTTAATCATTTGTCATGATTTGTTCTGAGTTCTCTCCATGGTTTTCTTGATTTACAGGTCATTTGTGAAATAAGGGGGGTTGCCTTTGTGGTAGATGGTATTGACCGCTCTTTCCATTTTTAATAGTTCATGATTCCTTGATAGATCCAGATTGCTTTAACAAAATCAAGAACTGCTTATCTGTAGGCTTTTCTCAGACTAGAGGTGGGATCCCATCTTAGGCCTCTTTAAGATCTATTACTATTTTAAAATGAAATAAAGGGTTAGAATTCCAAGCAGTCTTGCTCTGTAGCAATGCCTATAAAGCTAGCTGGTCACATTTGTTTAGTTTACTTTTTTAATAGACTTTTATTTTGTAGACCACTGCAAAAAGGGCAAGGAGGCCACATGTTCTGACCTCCTCTAAACCCACAAGAGGAAGGCAGAATCACCATCAATAGTGCAGGGCCTATTTCTGCCAGGCCAGACACGCTGCCTCCCTCCAGCCCTTTCTCCAACCGTTCCTGCCAGAGCACCCACCACCTCTCTCCTGGGCTCGATAATTCGCTGCAATGGCCCCACAGAACTCACAGATTATGGAGTTTATTAGGGAAGCACCAGGCTACAATTCAAGTTCAGGAAAAACACTCAGTCTCTCTCCCAGCCCACCATCTCTCAGCCAAGTCTCTCACAGTCTCTCCCCCAGCAGTGCATGTCCCTCGGTGTCTTACTCAGCAACGCGTGTCTCTTTCAGGAGCGTGGGTCTCTTTCAGCAGCACATCTTCCTCAAGCAGCAGTCAGAGAGAGTTCTGCCTCTAGGAGGCTTCCTTTTGAGTTTGGCAGAGTGGCCACACCAACCAATCATAACAGCAGAATTCTAAGTACCTGAGAGTGAGCCTCCCATAGCATTGCATTGTGCCACGCCCAACAGAAAAGCCCAGGTAGATAACATTTACAATCAGGAGCTCCTCAGTTGCTCATTCCACCATTGAGTTTACAGTGACTTATGGGTAGAAAGGGAGCTCTGGTAGCATAGTGGCTAAGACACTTGCCTGCTAACCAGACGGCTGGCGGTTCAAACCCACCAGCCACTCCTCAGAAGGAAGATGGAGCAATCTACCTCCATAGTGATACTGCCTCAGAAACCCAAGGTGGGGTCGCTATGAGTCGGGGCCAACTCGACGTAACATAACAACAACAACAACTATGGGTAGAAAAGCCATACTAAGTAATTTACTACACTGCAACCACATTTACATTTCTAGAAAAATTGTGCAGTAAGTACAGAGTTCTCATAGATTCCTTTTTTCTCCTATACAGTTGATTTTTTTGTTTGTTTGTGTGTGAGACTTTGTTACATTTGATGAACTAGTATTGCTACGTTACTATTAATTAAGTCTATGGCTTACATTAGGATTCGCTCTATGTTGTACAGACCTGTGGGTTTTGACAAATGCATGATGTCATATGTCCACCATTGAAATATTATACAGAATGGTTTCACTCTCCTAAAGTATGCCCTCTGCTTCACCTATTCCTGCCTTCCCTCTCCATTTATTTCCTTTTTAAAATATTTGGATGGAAGAATTAGAGGGATACTAGAAACCCAGGAGCCTTTGGTAGCATTATTGTGTGGATTTGATTTTTGTAGAGTAGTGCTCTCTCACCTACCTGAGAAGTCAGCACCTAGAAATGTCTTCTGAGAGTGTGTGTATATCTGAAAGATTGAGGATGCTCTTGCTTTTTTATTTCCTATGACCCAGCAGACATGAACTGTTCAGAGCTGTTAAATTCTAAAACTTACTGCTCAGGAAAGGGACTTGATTAAGCCAAAACAGATAGCCTAGTTAACATTATTAAGGCTGGTGTGTTACTCAGAAATTAAAGTACATCATCACAGTTTTTGAGGAAGGTGAGTATTTAGACCAGTAAAAAAAATAATAATAATAATAATAACAAATAAATAATGTGTTCTCCAACAGTTGGCTCGTATAAACACAGATAGTCTTTCAACTTGGGATTTAATTTTTTAAAAAATTATTTTTGTAATATACCCTAAGTCTAATCATATGAACTAAAATCTGTGTTAAAATATATATTATCCATTATAATAACTAACTTTGCATAAACGTAAGGTATTTTAAAATCTGCTTTTATCTTTTCCTTCTCTTTTCAGGATGGTATCGGCAGTGCAGCATCATTCCCTACAGCAAAGATGTCGACCTGGGGATTTTTATACAGGACTACAGATCGGATATTGTTCCAGCATTCCAGGATGCAGGACTGCCACTCAAACACAGGTTTGGGAAGGTCAGTAATAAACCTCCACCTTAGCTTCCTGGGTAGCATGTCTCCACAGTAGAGTTTATGTCAAGCTACTCAGAGATGGTTAAGAACTTTGCATGCATCGCTTTATCACACAGTATTGATAAAGAAGCTTGCTTCCTGCCCTGTTTAGGGAAAAGCTAGAAGATGAGGCTTTGTATTGAAAAGAAGAGAAGAATCTTAGATTCTTGTAGGTGAATTCATTACGATTGCGTTAGGTAATGATATGTAATCTACATACTATATAATATGAAATTAATAGAATAAGTAAGAATCTAGTCTTGTGCCTAAAGTTCCTTTGTTTCTCATGAGTCGTTTATTTTTATGTTCATTTAGGCATGGGTATCATTTGATGTGAAATACTCCACTGACTGTTAAGGGGTCAAAATACAGAATTATTTCAAACAAATTCTTAATTTCTTGTTTATCTCATATTGTCCCAGGAAGACTGTTGTAGGTCAGAAGTTTTCTCAGAGCTCAAGCAAGGCTAGGTCATCATGGCTGGGTTGAAGTATCCTTCTAGATGATTGGATCCCTTTGGTCATCTTACTCTGAATTTGCTCCTTCCCAGGATGATATTCTAGAAAGCAAGTAGAAGTATATTTAGTCACTGGAAAACTATTTCCCCTGTCATAAGGATTCATTCTAGTTTATTAAAAAAATTAATAATCTTTTTCTGAGGTCAGAGGAGTAAAACATCTATCAGTCAGCCTTTGCTGGGCACTGACTGTGTCAGGCACTGAGTCTACTCTTGGGACACAGAGGTGCGTAAGTTAGAGCTCCTTGAGGAGCTCACTGTCTAATTGGGAGAAACACAGAGTTACTGTGTGATTAGGGTTGTGACAGGTGCGTCAGTGGGAGAAACAGTTACTGTGTGATTAGGGTTGTAACAGATGCGTCAGTGGGAACATCATTAGTGGTACGATCAGTTTCTTTATGGAAATGCTCTCAGAATTCTTTTGTTCTGTATCTTAATTCTTCTTTTCTCCATATTATATAACTTAATCATCTATGGAATGTATGTGGGTTAGATAACGCCATATTTATCTAAGTACATTATTTACTGATGGAGTTGAGAGACTTCATTCCTGGTAATAAACTTGTTTGGTTAATAAAGGGAGTAGTTTTTTGGGGTTTCTTGTCTCTCTTGAGAAAGGGACATCAATGCAGGATGTTTTTACTTCCTTTGCAGAGTCGTAATTTAACTACCATAAGTCATTACTTCTCAGTTGGTGTCACTTGTAAGAAGGGATATCATTTAACATGTACTTAAGAGAGAAATTAAGTGATGGTGTACTGCTAAGTATAAGGTGCATCCCTGTTTCAGAGATTTCCAACTTGGAAAGAATTGCATCTTAGAATCAGTGCTCTGAAATGTAAAACATAACCATCTTTTTTCTTTACTTTTTAAAAAATGTTTCCTTTGTTTCAGTCTGTGACAGTTTTCATCTTCCTCTTAGGTAGAAGACAGCTTGGAACTATCTTTCCAGGGAAAAGATGATATCAAACTTGACATTTTTTTCTTCTATGAAGAGACTGACCATATGTGGAATGGAGGCACTCAGGCCAAAACAGGAAAAAAATTTAAGTATGAATCAGATAAGTACTTATAAAAGGGGCTGTGCTTCAGATGATGGAAATAGGAAACAGGCATACCTCATTTTATTGCACTTCGCAGTGGTTGCATTTTTTTTATAAATTGAAGATTTGTAGCAACCTTGTGTCAAGCAGCTCTTGGCACCATTTTCCAAGAATTTTACTTTGTGCCTGTGTTACATTTTGCTAAATCTTGTAATATTTCAGACATTTTCATAGTGCTATTACACATTTAATAAACTACAGCATAGTATAAACATAACTTGTATGTATACTGGGAAACCAAAAAATTAATGTAACTCCCTTTATTGTGGTATTTGCTTTGCACCCTCAATATTTCTGAGGTATGCCTGTAACTGAAAGAGAAAAAAGAAAAGGCTCTATTAACATTCTCCTTTGGGCTGGTACTTCCTCAGCTTATCTGTACAGTCCAGCAATGCCTACAAAGTGAGAACTACCTGTGAGAATAGAGTATCTTGGGTTTGTTCATGATTGTTGTTGTTGTTTTGCCATCAAGTCGGATCCAACTCATAGCGACTCTCCTTGGGTTTTCTAGGTGGTATCACTATGGAAATAGATTGCCCAGTCTTCCTTCTGAGGAGTGGCTGGTGGGTTTGAATCACTAGCCTTCTGGTTAGCAGTCAAATGCCTTAGGCACTACACCACCAGAACTCCTGGTAGAGAGATAGACAAAGTGAAATGAAGCTTAAATGGGGAAACTGGGATTAAACTAGGCTAACCCCATGAATTCTGGACAAACTCTAGAATGTTTCTTTAATGTACACTGAGGGCTGATCCTCAGATGACACTCAGTGGTTTAATAGCAGTCAAGTTTTGTCAAATGTAAGATGATACTGATTTACTTGTGCCAGAAGGAAGGTAGGGCAGTCTACTTCCATAGTGATACCACTTCGGAAACCCAAGGAGGGGTCACTATGAGTCGGATACGACTCCACAGCAATGGTTGCATTTTTGGTTGAAGAAAAGAAAAACACTGCCAGTTATAATCAATCCTAATCAATCCTAAGACACTTGATTCACAGATCGAAAATAAAAGTGCCTGAGAACTGATCTACAGTATGTCACCAAAACCAGACTCACTGCCATTGAATCAATTCTGACTCGTAATGACCCCATCAGATTTCCAAGGCTGTAAATCTTTACTTAAGCAGACTGCCTCATTTTTCTTCTGTGGAGTAGCTGGTGGTTCAAACCACTGACCTTTTGGTTAGCAGCCAAATGCCTGAACCACTGTACCACCAGAGCATCTTACAGAATGTTAAGTTGATATTTTAATATTTACTGTTTATTTATTTATTTATTTTTAGTACAATATAGTCAAACTCTTAGGGAAAAAAACAACAAAATTATGTTAGAATAATTATGCTCTCCTGTATTATACGGTCAGTCAGTCCTTAGTTCAACAAAAGTGGGAGGTACAAGAGAGGGAGGGAGGGAAAGAGGGAACATCCAGAGAGGACAGGAACATGAGGCGGATGGGCTTTGGAGCCAAGTGGACCTCGGAGACTTCAGTTCCACCCGGAGCTAGTTTGTGGCCTCTAGCTTTTCTGAACATTATTCTCATCTATAAAGTTTTCGTAGTAGTACAGTCTCATAAAGGTGTTGAACTGATTAGAGAGAGAGAGAGAGAGAGTGTGTGTGTGTGTGTGTGTCTATCTATGTGTACACACAGGCCTTTTTTCAGGCTCTTTCCACGTATATGACACTATTCTAAGTCTTTTCCATAACTGCATTTAATCTTCACAACTTTATGCGGTAGATGCTCTGTGAAGCACTGAGAACTTCAGTAATTTGTTCAAGATCACACAGCAGAGAAGTGGCATCAGACTGACAGCATTCGGTCCCTAGAATTCATGCCTTTAATCATGGTTTCACACTGCTTCCCTAAATACCTGACAGTATATGAGACACTTAGCATAGCGCTCAGCACTTAGTAATTTCTCCATAAATGGTGGTGATTATTATTATTGTGTCATTAGTATTATTAATGTTATGATTACTATCACTGCCATTATTATACTCACGTGACCGGTGTCATAATTTCACCTCAGCAATTTGCTCAGATGTGGGTCACTTGAGCCACTGAACACAGTGGGGGGGGGGGGCAGTACTGTAGTCTGTAAACACAGGAGGAATAGTAAACTCAGACTGGGTTCCTTGGAACATTGAAACAACCTTGCTAGGATCTCTGAATCTTTATTAGAAGACAGAGTCTCTTCTTGTGAGGTTCATTCAGCTTGTTCTGGAAGTTTGAGAGTAATCCACATCTTTTTCTTAAAGTCGTAAACTATCCCCAAATTCACACTGATCCCACAGCATATTCTTGAAACTTTTATTTATTATAAGAAAGTATTTTGCATTGTGACAACAAATGCCCTCATGCTAAGTTCTGATAATGACACTCCTAGAAATCAGTGTTCATTGAATATAATTTCACATTTGCGCAACACTTAAGTGAATGAAGAAATGAGTGGTTTTGACACTCACCTGTAGTTTTTATAGTTTTTTTGTTGTTTGTTTTGTTTTGTTACCTCCTCCTTGCTATGTGTTAAGGAGCTGTGGTGGTACAGTGGTTAAGGCATTTGGCTGTTAACCACAAAGTCAGTGGTTTGAACCTACCAGCCACTCCATGGTAGAAAGATGAAGCAGTCTATTTCCATAAAGATTTACAGCTGTGGAAACCCAATGAGGGTCTCTGAGTTGGAAGCGACTGGATGGTAGTGAGTTTATATATATATATATAATTTATTGTATATTGCCTTCCTCTTCACCCAGATGTGGTGATTAAGTTTGTGTGTCAACTTGGCTGGGCCTGGTTGAGTGGCTAGGCAGCTGGATGTAGTATTTTCCATGATGAGACTGGTAACTCCATGGTGGCATCTACTGTGAGCAGCTGAGTAGCTGCCTTTGGGTATGTGGTCTGCTTCCCGTAAATAAGAAACAGCTTTGGGACTGGTCTCTAGCTTATGGCATGCTTGGACCCTGCATGTAGCCATGTTGTTATTCGGCAGCCTGCCATGCTCTGCCGACCTGAGGACTTACAGTGGACTTGAATTAATGGCCTGTCACGTGGTTTGGTAACATCGGGACTGTGCCATTTTATTTGTTGACCTTGGGCTTGTTAGCCTTAGCAGCCTGAGTGAAGAGATGCCCCTACCTTCAGAGGGCTGGGAGCAAGAGGCAGAGCTGAAGCCCAAGGTTGAGGGGCTTTCACACAGCCCCTAGAGCCTGGCACTTTGAACTCGGACTTCTAGCCTCCGGAACTGTAAGAGAATAAACTCTTGTTTGTTCAGGCCATCCCATTTGTGGTATATTCCTGTCAGAGTGGCATAGGTAACCAGAACACCCAAGTTAATATGTTTCTACCCTCTAATTAGTGGTAGACATTCACATACAGTTTTTTTTTTTTTTTAAATGTTGTTAAGATACCAAATTTAATGCATAATTAAGAGGCACTTTTTTTAATGCTAAGCTAGTGTAGCATGGAAATTGAGGCATGGAGCCAAATGGCTTGTCCCAGCTCCACATCCTATCAGGTGAATATGGGCAGTTTACTTAGTTGGTCTGTGGCTAAGTCCTCTCTGTAAAATGGGGATAATAGAAATGGCCACATAGGTTTGCTTCATTGATTTAATGAGTTAATACACAGAAGGGCTTTGAACAATGTCTAGTATGCCTTGAGTGTTCAGTAATTATTAACTGCTATTATTTTTTTTAACTAGTAGTAGTATTAATATATATAGTATAGTATAGTAGTAGTAGTAGTATATATGGACTGTTCAATCTATATGCTGAGCAAATAATCAGAGAAGCTGGACTATATGAAGAAAAACGTGGCATCAGGATTGGAGGAAGAAACATTAGCAACTTGAGATACGGAGACAATACAACTTTGCTGAAAGTGAGGATGACTTGAGGCACTTACTGATGAAGGTTGAAGGATAAGTCTGCAGTATGGGTTACATCTCAATATAAAGAAAACACAAATCCTCACAACTGGACCAATGAGCAGCATCACAATAAACGGAGAGAAGATTGAGGTTGTCAAAGAATTCACGTTGCTTGGTTCTACAGTCGATGCCAATGGAAGCAGCAGTCAGGACATTAGACAACGTGTAGCA